CTGCCAGGACATCCGGCAGGGTGACATCGTGCGGATCTCCCGGGACTGTGACATCCCGTGCGATTTGGTTCTGCTGAAATCGTCTGACGAGAACGGGAAGTGTTTCGTAACGACGGCCAACCTGGACGGCGAGACCAACCTCAAGTCGATGATGGTGCCCAAAGAGTTGCCGGAGCTGCCGGTGGATAAGCTGCACACGCTCGGTCGGATAGAGTGTGAACTGCCGCGTACGGATCTGTACACGTTCAACGGCAGGCTCGAGTTGGCTGAGATTTATCACAGGCACGAAATTACCACCATAGATGGTGGACTGGGAATGGAGCATCACGTCTTGCCGTTGATGGCAGAAAATCTTCTGTTGAGGGGGTCCAGGGTGAAGAATACGGAGTGGGCAGTCGGGTGTGCGATCTACACCGGACAGAACACGAAGCTGGCATTGAATAGCAAGATGACGAGCAATAAGATGAGTTCCAGCGAGGGGTACATCAACAAATATCTTGTGTTTTTCCTGGTTCTGCTGATTGCGATCGTGGTGGTGTCCTTCTTTATGAAGCGATACAACGATCGCTACAATGATGGTCATAATTTCTACCTGGGCGAATACACGGCAAACTACCGGGTGTCGCAGTTCTTGCAGGATTTCTTCTCGTTTCTGATCCTGTTCAACTACCTGATTCCGATCTCGCTGTACGTGACGATCGAAATGGCAAAGTTCTTGGGTGGGTTCTACCTGGAGTGGGACCTGGAGCTGTACGACGAGGAAACGGATCAACCGTGCATTGTGAACACTTCGGATATCAACGAGGAGTTGGGGCAGGTTTCGCTACTGTTTTCCGACAAGACCGGTACGTTGACGAAGAACGTGATGATCTTTCAGAATTGTTCGATCAATGGCAAGGTTTACAATCAGAAGGGAAGGCGCTTGCAGGAGGTTGGTCGACGGTACGCGTTGAAGATCAACGAGTGTTCGGTAAGTATGTACGCTATCCTAAGAAGCCCTTGTCTAACTGTTATACTTTCAGCGTCACGTTTACAACTTCTTCGAAGCATTGGCGGTTTGTCATACGGTGCAGGTTGTGGGTGACTACACCAATGAAGCGGACGATCCTGAAGCTGCAGAACAGGAACAAGACTCCGAAGACGAGGGTCCATCGCCGGAGATGAACAACAACCGATCCAGGCGAAACTTTTCGCATATTTCAGAGGAGCTTGAAACGGTCGCTTCGAACGATTCCGTCCTGGATGAGCCGGACTTCATTCAGTTACAGGAACTCTCACCACGGAGTCGTGCTCCGGTAACGTTCTCCGTGCACCAAGATAAGCGTTACAGTGCCGAGCATGAGCCTTCTGTTGTTGCTGAGACAAGTGACGACCAAACTAGTCAGATGAGAGAACGTAGCGGTAGTGGTAGTTTAAGGCCTGTCAGTGAATCGGTAGTTCGACGGCCGAGTAGCATTTTCACAGACAACCGAGTCCACCCGGTGAGTCTACAGATTCCACCCTTCAGGCGGGTTCCGTCGAGCTTGTCTAGTCGCTCTTCCCGACCGCAGAGTCTGATCGAGTCACCGACCTCCGAGGAGCAGTTGGGTCAAACGGGCGATGGAAGTCTGTTCCAGAACAGCAGTAATGGACACCTGGATGGGCTGCTGCAGTCGATCGAGTTGAAGCGAGCCATTTCCGCCTACGAGGAGAAACCGATCACGGAGCGGGTGGTAAAGACCCATCGGCGGACGCAATCGCACATTCCACCTGGAGTGGTCAACAAGACTAATGGGGACAGAACGGACAGGGATTCCGTAATGCTGCGGCGGAATCGTAGCTCAATTCGGTCAACGGCCAGGGAGTACTACGCGGCGGAGTCGTTTACGGAAGCTTCACTAATTCAACGGCAGGAGTCCGTTATGAAGCAGGAGGAAGTGTTGTCGTTCATTCGGTAAGTCTGCGAATTAGTTGGATGTTGAAATATGGGGTTTGGTGAGTGTGAGTTTCCATTGCAGAAATATGGACTACCAGGCGTCGAGTCCGGATGAGAAAGCGCTGGTGGAAGCCTGTGCTAAGATGGGTCTGGTTTTTGTTGGAGACGACGCGGAAGTTCTGCACATCAAGCTACGGGAGTCCTGTGTCAAGCGGAATGTGAAGTCCGTGTACGGAGAGGTTCCTCGTGAGGAACTGGTCAAATACCAAAGATTGGCTGTGCTAGAGTTCACCTCGGATCGGAAGCGGATGAGCGTGATAATTAAGGACGCTCAGGGTCAGATTTGGGTGTATACCAAAGGGGCGGAAAGTCACGTGCTGCCGCTGTGTACGAAGACGCCCTCGGGGCTGGTGATATCTACGCAACGACACATCAACGAGTTTGCCAAACAGGGATTGAGAACACTGGCCGTCGCCAGACGAAAACTGACACAGGTTGAATACTCCAACTTCCGGAATGAGTTGATACAGGCGAACAACTCGTTAACGGATCGGGTTGCCAAGGTGAGTAGTTGTTGTGTGTTCGTTGTTGGTGAATTTACGAATTTCTGGATCTTTATTTGTAGGTGGAGGAATGCCAGCGGAAGATCGAAACGGGGCTGGAGCTTTTGGGTGCCACTGCCGTGGAGGATGCGCTCCAGGACAACGTCAGGGACACTCTGGAGTCGTTGCGGATGGCTGGCATCAAGGTGTGGGTTCTCACTGGTGACAAGATAGAGACGGCCCTGAACATAGCTCTCAGCTGCGGCCATATTCCGGAAGATGCTTACCGGTACTTCATAACCGAATGTACAACAGTGGAACAACTACAGCAGCACTTTGACGTATTCTCGTTCGAGATGTTCCGCGCCCCGGATCGGGAGTATGCGCTGTTGATCGACGGCGCAAGTTTGGCGATCGCATTGAAGGACTTGCGGGAGGTGTTCCGAGATCTGTCGATCAAGTGTCGAGCGGTTCTGTGCTGTCGACTGAGTCCGTTGCAGAAGTGCGAGGTGGTGCAGCTGATGAAGACGGTGGAGAGCAATCCGGTGACGGCTGCTATCGGAGATGGAGCCAATGACGTATCGATGATCCAAGAGGCTCACGTAGGGCTGGGGATCGTGGGAAAGGAAGGTCGACAAGCGGCTCGATGTGCAGACTATGCTTTTGCCAATTTTTGCATGGTTAAGAAGATGCTTCTGGTGCACGGGCACTATTTTTCGACGCGCTTAGCAATTTTGGTGCTGTACTTTTTCTACAAGAATCTGATATTCATGGGGATTCAGGTGGGTAACCGGAGACATTCTAGTTATTTGTGGGTTCCCTGATGTCTGGTTTTTGCGTGTTTTTCAGTTCTTTTTCCAGATCGATAGCTTGTTCTCATCGCAGTCCGTGTACGATTCAATATTCCTGACGCTGTACAACGTACTCTACACGTCACTTCCCGTATACGTCCTATCGTTGACCGAGAAGCCGTATCGAGAGGAGACTTTGATGAAGTGAGTTAGGCTCAGAGTTCTTTGCTGGAGCTACGAACGACCTTCTATTTTCTTTGTAGGGAACCCTCACTCTACCAGAAGGTAGCCGGCAATAAACAGTACGCCTGGAAGTACTTCATAGGCTGGATGTTGCTAGCAGTATACCACTCCTTAGTCGTCTACCTTTTCAGCTGGGCCATCTGGGGTAACAATCCGGTGATCTACGCAACGGGTCCGGAAACTGTTAACTTTGCCTGCTTCGGAACCATGACGATCCACAATGTGGTGGTCGTGGCAAACCTGAAGCTCCTGCTGGAAGCGATTCACAAGAGCTTTATCTTCATCGCCTCAATCTGGCTGTCGATCTTCGGTTTCATGGGAACGACCTTCATCTACAATCTGTTCAATCTGTAAGTACAACCCGTGCCCGTCCATTGTTTGTGCTCGTCCCAGTGTTTGTGTTCATGAGTCCTTGTCCTCGTCTTTCCGTTTCGATTCTTCGTCGGGAACACCACAGCTTTCGATTCGGTTCCAGGAACTACGACGGTGACATGCTCCAGGTCTACAACAACCTGCTGTCGTCGCTGACGTTCTGGGTGTTGAGTTTGCTGATTCTGGTGGCGGCCTTCATTCCGGACTTTACGATATTCGCCGCAAAGGCAATCGACATTAAAATAGGGCACATCTTCCCCGGTGGGGCCAAGTTCCGGAATGCTTTCTTCCAGCGGCGGACCCGTACCGTGGAGAGTACGTACTTGTAATTCGGAGTTTCCAAATAGCATCATGACATGCTAAAACTTGCCAAGTTTTTTATACATACATAATAGGTTAGATTTTCATTGTTGTTGTGCCTGCTAAGTTATTGCCACTAGCACCGTAAGACGAATCGTGATAGACGCAGTTCCTTCTCTCGCGCGCAATCCAAGACAGCGAGTTATCAGTATTTTTGAAATACATTTTTGTGAGAACTTTTACATTCCAATACCGAACGCCTTTGGTCGGAGTCGTTTGTTTTTTTGTAGCGAAAGAAAATCCTCGCCGCACGCGGAAGCCTAATGAATTTGGATGGGATTAGCGATTCCAGTTATTAAATGCTCAGTAGCCGGCACGCCATTGCTTCGTTAAAAAAAAAGTTAACGAAGCGAGAGGGCAACAAGCAACAAGGTAGGCTGGGAGGAGCCGAGATGGGTGGGCTAGAACAACGAAAAGTTGGCACCTGGTCTCTGAGTGCGTGTGCAACATGTGCCTTTCCGAAATCAATAGGATCAACAAGCGGGCTTTTCAGTGGGGTCTTCGAACGGTTGAATGGGAACTCATTCTCTTGGTCGGTCGAAGAGAGCGAGATTGCAGCAAGAGACTGAGTAGCGGTAGCGGGAGAAAGAGAAACGATGACGAGAGAGAATCGGAGTAGGTCATGGGTGCGCCCTAGGGTGGACAAAAGGTGAACTGGGTAGATTTAAGTACTTTTGAACAACAAGTTATGTTTAAATTTTTGTCATCTTCTGTCAGCAGAGCTTTTTTATGCTTTCGGAAAAAAGGTTCCTGTCTTGACTAACTCAATTTTGAAGAGTTTGTGGAAAGTTCCTGTGGCCGTTCGGCAGTAGTAAACCGAATACGAAGACTCTGATTACAGCTTCAATCTGTATACATTACATTACATATAGACGCAGAGTCACTCGAAGAAATACTCATAATATAGTATACACCATACAAGTTTTAGCTTGAATCCCGCTAATCTGCATGAAATGGAGTAAAGTGAAATGGAACGATCGGAAACGGAGCGCAGAATCAAATGAAAATCGAACACCGAACTTTGAATAACTTTAAATGTTAAATGCGAGGTTAAATGAAGATAGGGGAGTGGTTTACGGGGTTTTGGGTTCGTTAGATGTTTTTTTTTTTATAATGCGTTTATTTTTCCAGGCTCATTTGCTGTAGCTTTGTGGAGCCGATATTCATTGTTTAGATTACAAAATTACTTAAAACTAACGTTAGTAAAGCGGGGACCGATTACTCGCGGCTATCTCGAGGTTAGGGGTAACAAATTGTAACAAATGGATGGCAGGGTAGAGATTGTGAACACAAGGTTTGGAGAGCAATCCTAAGTAACAATTTAGGTTTTATGAGGGTTCTAGAGACTATGATTTAGACTTGTAGGATGCTTTAAAACCTCGATAAAACTTGCAATGTTGCTTTGGATGTGCTCTTGATCTCGAACTAATTCGTTAGATGTTGTAATGGGGATTTGTACTTGTTGGATGGGGGAGGCGATTGAAGGGCGGGTGTTTGACACATAGAACCTGTCAATTTCGCTTTCAGAGCGTCACAGTAGGCGATTTTATGATTCGTGAGCGCCCACTCAGAGTGAGCGCTCGTGATTCGTTGAATCGTTGATTGTGACTATCTGCAGGTGGATTTGACGGATTTTGCGTGTCGGACACTTGCCTTGTCTAACATGTAAAAGGTATCAGTATATCATCTGATGGTTTCAGCAAAATGTTATTTGTTAGCTGAGTCTCAGCAATTGTTTTACTCAATCCCAGCAAAACAAATTGCAGAAATAATCGGCTGTTGGAATCTCGGTGAAAAAAATTAAGTGTTTAGTAGTCACGTTTTGTAGCTTATATTTTATTTCTTTCATGTAATTATCGTAAATAATAGTTATTCAATAATAGATGATTCATCCATTTATTCAATTATAAATTTTTAATCGATTTAAATTAAAAATTAATTTGGATATCTAACAATTGGACAGAATCAGTAGCAAGAATAGGTTGCTCGCCTTCGAAAATATCGATACGTTTTTCAGGGTTGTAGTTTTGGTTTTCATCAGTGGTCTGGCTCTGGTTGTGAACGATTAAGGTAGTATTTTTAGGTAATTATTTAGCTTTTAGCACAACTTTGTAGCCAATTGGTTACAATCCGTGGATTTTCGTCTGTATGAGTTATTATTGGTTGGGCAAATTCACGAGAGGGCTTGTGCCGCTGCAAAGAACAAGAACGTTACTGAAGAGAAACAAACTAGTGTAACCTCCCTCCCTCTTGAGGGGTTTCTGGGATGTTGGACTGCCTCCGTTCAGGACCTCTTGTGCTTTTGTACATCTTGTACACCTCGTACCGTACAATAAAACGGTCTCACTCGGCTCGGCTCGGAAGTCAAGATGGCATATTCAATTGACCTGCTTTGGTTTGCATGTAATTATATAGGAAAAGGGGGGACTCACGATTCAGTTTTAAGAGTGCATGGGAGCCGTTCTAGGGGTTGGTTGGGGCATGTGGTTCATTTGAGATATTATAGTTTGACGTGATAACCATGTTTCACTCACGTTCTGGAACGTGGCCTTGAGACTTGAGGTCTGGCCTTCATAAGACCCCCTTCCGCCTCGCAAAATCAAAATCAAAATCAAAATCAAAATCAAAATAATAGTAATAAATGCCAAATATTAAATGTAATATGTTCAATGTAAATTATAATATGTAAAAATTTTCATTCGCGTTGGACAGCTCGTTCAACGGGCTTTTTTGTACGGGCTGGAATTTTCGGCAAGCTCGGCTTCCATCGTCGCCGGACCGTCTGGTTTGTTCTTGGCGTCAACTTGGCCGCCATTTCCGTCCGTTGGATTCGGACAAGACCCGCGTGCATTTCGAAAGCCCGCCTCTTATAGGTAGATAAACGGAGTGTCGTGAAGTCGCTAGTTTGCTAAGCGAAATTTTTCCCCAAGGGTCCCCAAAAGCCGTTGGTAGAGTTCCCGGGGACCGTGACATTCGAGAGCTCGGACCGCAGAAGTACGAAGCCAATTGCGTACCTCGGTTCGGATTTTAACCAAAGAGGAGAAGACAATTTTGTATTTAAAATACCTGAACACCCCTCATTTTGAAGGTGTGTGTGTGTAGAACGTTGCTCCTATTTTGATTTTGGAATTCACTCTTCAGTTGTCAAAATGCCGTCCAAGCAAGAAGAGCAGCGTATCAAAATTTTGCTCGCGCATCGCGAAAATCCGAGCTACTCGCACGCAAAGTTGGCAAAATCGCTAAAAGTTGCCAAATCAACCGTTACAAATGTAATTAAAGTGTTTGGGGAACGTTTGTCGACAGCCAGGAAGTCTGGATCGGGGGGAAATCGAAAACCGGAAGCCGCTGAGACGACAAAGAGAGTTGCCGGTAGTTTCAAGCGAAACCCTAACCTCTCTCTCCGAGATGCCGCAAATAAGCTGGGTGTATCGTCTACAACCGTGCATCGAGCCAAAAAACGAGCCGGACTATCGACTTACAAGAAGGTAGTGACTCCAAATCGCGATGATAAACAAAATACGACGGCCAAAGCGCGATCCCGGAGGCTGTACACGACGATGCTGACGAAGTTTGACTGCGTGGTAATGGACGACGAAACCTACGTCAAAGCCGACTACAAGCAGCTTCCGGGACAGGAGTTTTATACGGCAAAAGGAAGGGGAAAGGTAGCAGATGTTTTCAAGCACATGAAACTGTCAAAGTTCGCAAAGAAATATCTGGTTTGGCAAGCCATCTGTACCTGTGGCTTGAAAAGCAGCATTTTCATAGCTTCCGGGACTTTCAACCAAGAAATTTACGTGAAAGAGTGTTTGAATAAACGTCTGCTGCCTTTCCTGAAGAAACACGGTTGTTCCGTACTGTTTTGGCCGGATTTGGCATCTTGCCATTACGGTAAAAAGGCCATGGAGTGGTACGCCGCCAACAACGTGCAGGTGGTTCCCAAGGACAAGAACCCTCCCAACACGCCAGAGCTCCGCCCAATTGAGAAATACTGGGCTATTGCCAAGCGGAACCTAAAGAAGACCAAAAAAACTGCTAAGGGCGAGCAGCAGTTCAAGGCAAACTGGCTTTCTGCGGCGAAGAAGGTGGACAAGGTGGCTGTACAAAATCTGATGGCAGGGGTCAAGCGTAAGGCCCGGCAATTCGGATTTGGAAAAGCGGAAGCCTAACTGAATATTTTTCCTGAATTTTATACTAATTGAACTTGAAAAAGAAATTTAATTTGATTTTTTAAATAAACGATTTCACTGATTTACACGCGTTTTCCCTTGACCAAATTTTGACCGTATCACCCTTTAGTACGCGAAGCCGTGTGACGGTACGTTGGTCTCTCTCTTCCGCGGAGAGAATCTCCCGGGAAATGCTCGACTCCGTCGATGCTCAGCTCTCTAGAAAGCCAATCGGAAGCCTTCCGTCCAGCCGCCACTACCTCCACACCTCTAATTTCGGCCATACCTTTTCGTCGCTGCACGCCATTTCCGCAGCTTGATCGGCGCCATTCCGAAACCGCCGCCATCATCACAGGTCGTCGGAAGGTCGACAGTCGCCATCGCCAGGACCTTGGTAAGGTCACCGGCCGCCATTACCGCTCCATCCGTCGCCATCACCGATTAGTCCATCGCCATTATCGCATCGCATCGAAAAAACCTGCGCAGGTATGTCCGTATTTTTTTTCCATGGCCATGAATAGTTTGCTTTTTGAACCGAGTCTAGTCCAACCCGAATGTATGTTAAGGAATGATGTGAATATAGATTGAAATTTGAAGTTTTTTTGTTGTTTTCTGTCACGGTTTTTCAGCTGACTCGCTCGCCATTGAGTTCTTGGGCTCGTCTTGGATTCGCATCAGCTGCATTCGGTTTAGCTTGGTTCGTTAGGTTGAATGAAAATTGGGAATATAATTTGTGAACTTCTTTGAGATTGCGGGTTTCCCTGATGGTAAATGGATCGGATAAAGGCGTTCTTTCGATAAAGATTAGTTTCCGTTAAATTTTTGAATTTCATTGAGGAAGGGTTTTTAATCATATCGTTCGAGTGGTCCTCTGAGGATCAGTCTGTAAGTCGGGCAAAGAAAACACGACCGGTGGTCTCTCGTAAAGGGAGTGGCGTAAAGGGAGTTTCACTTGAACCTCGAGCATTCTTCGCGAACGGTTACAACTTTCGGTGTGTTCCTATAGTCGATGTATGATGATCGGAATGACGTTTTC